TTAGGACGGTTTCCTCGAGAGAACACGAAACTGTCATTGACCCAATTGGAAAGATGCAACATGGTCATTTGTATGCTCTTCAAATAATCACTTTTAGGGAATGCGTTAAAACGAAATTATGCATTGCACTTATGCCATTTAATTGTTTACCCAGTCCGCCGTAAATGAACAATAGATCAGTAGTTCGCATGGTCAATAAACCGTCACTTAGGTACACAATAATACGGCTTCTACTAAAAAGGGTTATTTTCTCCATGTTTTAGACCAACGGCAGAAGAGAGACGATCACATGGATGTTCCAAATTAGATCGTTCACAATAGAATCGCATCGGAATTGTCTTTGTGGGATCGCATCACAACGGGGATACACGCGCTTTTGCGTGGAACAGAATCTCTCTCGCCGAAGTAGGACAATCACGCCCACTTGTTTCCTCCACAGTAGTTCATCACACCTCGATGAGAACGACAAACCGCGGAACGCCCACTTTTCCTCCCGGATCAGGCCACGCCACCGGGTGAGAATACGTGCGTGGGACGAGACGAAGAACAGTGAATGATTCGGAATAGCGAGCACAAGCAGGTTATTATCGAACTCAAAGGAAATTTATCAACATTGAATGAATCAAATCGAGCGGACGTATGTTCACAAACTGAGGTGAAAATTACACACACACACACACACACATACAAACACTCACACAGCATAACTAGTAACACTGTAATGAGTATGAAACATATTCCTACACAGGCTAATACAAAAAAGAAACCAATTGTAAAAACAACATTGAGAATAACAACAATAGCAACAACAACAATTACCACTAAGGCGAAAACCAGAACTTTCAGTTTCTTCATTCAATCAAACTTCACAAAAGCATTTTTCTATTGCTTCGTTTTTGACACCACACGGACCACATGATCACTCACTCATCACCATAGTAACGAGTAGAGTAGTTTAAAATTAGTAGTCTCACAAAGTGCTCGAGGAAAGGTAAACTGAGACACAAGCATAGCTGGTTCGGTGGCGGGGGGGGGGGGGNGCAGGAACAGGGGCCTGCGATAGGAAGGTATGTCTGGTTTGTGTGTGTGCGTGTGTGTGTGTCGGTGTGTGAGAACAAAGTTTGGGAACGGAAGAGTAGTTTGTTTTCAATACAAGCACACGGGCAATAAGACTTACTAGTTAGTAGCCTTCCTTCCGTATGTGAGACAAACAAACACAAGCATACACACCGTTTATTTTAACCACGTTCTGCGGCCATGTTTCATTGCTTCCCGAGTGATGCATAGATTTAGTTGTGATTCAAAGAAGACAAGATAAAAGATTGGAGGATGAAGGAAACGTGACAAATGAAAGTTCAGAAACCAAGTCGTGTTCGGTTATGAACCTTATCAAGTTGGTTCTTTCTCGGTGCGTGTCCACACACATTGACAATCGAAATGCATTCGGAAAGCGAAGTAAAAACACAAGTAGATCGAATTTAGAGTGAATAAAAATCTTTTCAGGGAGTGCGGGATTTAAATTCTTCTATCAATACCACGATTTGTTTAAATGGGATTAGTTGCGTGAAAATGCTGAGGCAGAGGCAATTTTCAATCCTAAGCTACATGTGGATTGATTGCTAAATAAGTCCGTTGGGATGACGAGTTCAGTACCGTATTAAACACGAAGCCATAGCGAATAAATACATTTACAGTTTGATCGATACAATTTGTCAAAAGATAACTATTACTTTCAGTTTTGAATGCGCGAATGATGTATTCAGCAACGAGCATCACGTTGAGGGTGGGTCAACAAATGCATACAGAACAAATTAGTACATACAAATTCTGGGATTCTGGTTACTTTTCAAAATCACGAAATAATAGTCGGGATTAAGGTAACAACAATCGTTACGAGATTTCCAAGCTGGTGTGCGACAATCGATAAATTCATCATTGATTAGAATAGCCAAACAATCATATTGGCTATTTTACTTTGAGCTGTATTTTACCCATCTAGCGCCAACTGTTCATGATACTTATCCAATTCCTTATCCAGTGAAACTTATCCATTTTTTATGCGAATAATATTTAGAAGTGCACCGAACAACTCCGAAGGCGGGGGTCTAATATCGAAAAAAAAACGAGCTCTTACACGCATGCACACACGCACAAAGACCACAGAAATCAATATTAGACATGAGGGCAGGAGAATCCTGCTAGTTGAGAGGGCGGGGTTGGGGGGATGGAAGTTAATTTGGACCCGGCAATGGGTGTTCAAATCCTGGGTATCAGCAATCTACCGCTCGAGCTCGGTTAGTGATTCACCAACAGGTAACCCTGAGGGCCAAATCCAAAATCGAGCAGAAGGGTAGAAGTAACCCATCAAGTCCTCACAAGCTAATTTGTCCATGGGTCCGGTGAGTGAAGCAGTTGTGTATTTTCCGTTTAAAGTAACCAGTTACTTGATTACCAGTTTGGTTGAACGTGGTGTGTTCCGACACAATGTAGACTACAATCGGTAAACTTTGAACGTTTCCTTACTCATTTCCCCTTACACTAACTCCGGGGTGGGGGCCTGGCGTTTAACATTAGATGTGAGAAAGTAATTCCCTTTTTCAAGCTGTAATAAACATAGACTGGCGGGGCCTTCGAATTTCGGCTGCGCTATCCGTTTTTCCATCATCGGATTATTCACTGCATAACCATAACTGTCTGAGCTTTTTTTGCATCATTCATCACCGTGAACTTTTACCTTGATTGCCAAGGCGACAGTTGTGTTGCTACAGTAAGGACAAACTTGATCAAATACACTCGGGATTGCATGCATTCCATCAAATGGACCAAATGGGCAGCTACAACCTGTTTTGGGAGGACTATGAGGAATAAAACCAAAAGGACGTTCAGGAAGCTTTCGAAAAATCTGAGGAAGCATCGAGCCGGTTGGAAAGTTGCTCTTCGGAAACGAACCATCTCTTGTGTGTTCCCATCCTTCTCAGTTCTGACGTCCGATCTCTTATCGGAAATATGGCCGATCTCACCAGCTTAATCAAGCTACGGGAATATGCCCAACTAGGTGTGATCATGCTACAAGAAAGTTGGCTCCGCAAAGAAATTGAAGATGAAATAATACACCTGGATGGATTCACTAGCTATCATGTCGATCGTCCTGTTCCTTATTCCGGACGAGGAGGAGGTG